TGCCGTTCTTTAGCTGTAGTGCTCCGGTTACGTTGTGACCACTGATGTTTTCCCATGTTTCAAATATTTAGGTATTTAGGTTTGCAGCAATATTCTCAGGCACATATTGCATTGATGACGTAATGCAGGATGAGACTGAAACGGAAAAAAGAAAATTTTAAAAAGTGTCTGTTAAATTGATATTTTGTAATACTTTTCTCTACTTGTGTTCCATTATTGTTGCTCCAGTTGATTTGTTCTTCATTTTTCTATCCGTTTTTCTCCTTCAACTGTTTTTTCCATTATTTAATCCGCCTTGTCGTACACTCGGCGTGTGGTACGCCAGACAACGCTTTGCCAATGCAGGCAAACATCACGGTGGCCACTTATCGTCGCCGGATGGCAAACTCACTATGTATAGTCATCGGCAACTACTGCAACAATGGTAGATCAATGTAAGCTATCATTTCTAATGTGTTGTGCGCGTGTGTGTGCTTGTACAATGGCTGTTTTATTGCATATAATGCATTACTTTTATTAGAATTTTGTATTTGATGATTGGACCAATACTTAGAAGTAGTTTAATTCATTAATTATTAAGTTTTAATGCCGGTAATATTTTTGAGTTTGACAGTTTATTTGGTTTTTATTTAAAATGTTATAAGAATCTGAGATGCACTTTTTCAGATAAAGCAATTAACATTATTACAGTGTTGATAAATATAATTTTACAATGATAAATACATGTTTATCTAAATTCACTTTTTTAAATAAAAAACCAATAAACTTTTGAGTGCAAAAAATTAAAACACAATTATCTTACTAGCAAAGTACATCAAGAAGACAGCGACTGCAATCAGTAGTTGTTCGCTAGGGGAATAATTACTGGCAATAAACGGCAGTTAGCAGTTAATTGGCAACAACTTGAATTGAGTTATTATTACTACGTCTAACACTAGAAATAAGAGTTGAATGTTTGAACTAATGAGGTTATATGACTGCCGGTTGAATCGCTAAATGTGTACAGTGTGAACCGAAACTGCTTTCATGTTTGCTCGCAAATCAACCGTAGTTGGTGTGTCTGCTGCAATGACATGCTTGTTTAGTGTCAGGCAATAATGTTGGCAGTGCCATTGCCGGTGCCATTGCCGTTGCCGTTACCATTGCCAACTGCACAGACGGCAATGTCAGACGGCAGTCAGACGACTCCGACAATCAGAGCCGATCAACAGACAGTCAGACATTTAGCTGGTGTTTGTGTGTGTGTGTGTGTGTCAGCAAATGTGCTTTCACGGTGATTTCACCGCTAGCCAAAAATGCATCAGCACAGCAGATCAGATAAACCAGAAAACCCACTGGAGTGTGTGTCTGTGGCTATTGCCATCGGTGGATGAGGCCATCCCAATGGCGAACAAACAGTTTGCTGTTGCTTCTGGCCCAGTGCACACCAGTGGATAGTGTCAATCAGTTGATGCACTGTACGGCCGGTCCTTATCATTTCATTCAATCAGCTAATGTTAGTCTAGTGACAGGCAAATATTGTGCCACAGTACAGATTCAGCAGTGCCACAGGGGCTTCCACTGCTTCTTTTCAAACCAATCAAATAGAGATACGGTTTTAACACTCACAGCAAATAGTTAGCGGCGGCAGCATCAACGGCACTGATTTTACAAACAAAGAAATGTGTTTATTGTCAGATTACTAACTGTTGATGCTCTTTTTATTATTTACAGCCGCCTCTTTTGTGTGGTTTTATGTGACCTAAATTGAGTCATGTTAATCGAATTAAGCAATCATTTAAAAGTCAGTTTGTGTGTGTTTAAACAATAAAGATCAGCTTCTTCAAATTGGTTAAAGTGATCATCAATTGGACTGCGCATCCAATCAATATTGGCAATTTCTTGTGTTTGACATTGGTATTATTAATGAGTTCCACAGTTTTTTCTGGTTAGTAATGCATTTTTAATGGTAAAGTAAACGCTAGCAGAATTACAAACTTAGGAATCAGCATTAAATAAAATGTTTTTTTTATGATTTTTGTGATAAGAACATTAAAAATTAAAACTAGATTAACTCAATTTAAAAGTTTTGTTTAACTTTTATTTTTGATATAACATAACTGGCTCAAAATTTGAACAATCTGATTTTAAATTTTGTAACAAAAAAATTTTTAAAAATAAACACTTGTTTTTAAAAACTGTTTCAAAAAGAGCAATAAAAGTTTTTAATAATTGAACCAAAAAAACTAATGAACATCTATTTACTATGAGGCCATTAGTCTACTAGAAAAACTAAAACTTTGCCATTTCAATTGACGACAGTGTTCAACAATGATTGCAATTGTCACCTTAAACATTGATAATTTTTAGCCATTTGTGCAGTTGATGACAGTGTTTTAATCCAGAAATGCAGTAACGGTTTTGTGTTGCTTTTTCCCTCTTTCATGACGATTCCCAAGTGTCCTTGACAAACGAAAGAGGGTTTGCAAGAAAGCAACTGCCACTTGGGTATATCTCTTTTTTGTTTATCTTTTCATCATCATCTCTATCACCAGTCGTCTCCTAACCGTCTGATGATACACTAAAAACTTGCACTTTTTTAATCAAAAAGAAAACGTGTTATCAGCATACAATAAAAACTTTTTTCATTCCTACTAAAATAATTTGCAGCTGTAATGCAAATAAAAAGTTTATTTTAAAAAGTTATGAAAAAATTAAAACTTTAAATGCACCAAATGATTGACAAAAGTTAGTTTTTGTTACAATGCATAGTAGCTAAATTGCCGGTTTTCTTTTTTTATCAAAATCAGTTGATGATCAAAGAAATTTATCAGCAGGCTCACCCTTCTTTAGCCTGTTTGCTTCTTCAGCCAGCAGCACTTCAGCTGATACCACCTCATCACCCCCTGCTCTGCTCAGAAGATGAACTTTGTTGTTCGTCTCATGAGAGGGCAAACTAGCAGAGTGGCAGAGTAAGACAAAAAACACCGGTTTGCTTTATCTTTTCGGTGGTATTTTACAGGCAACTGTGAGCGCAGGGTGCAACTGTTGGCCGCTATCTTTTCAACTTTCACCATGCTGGTGGCAGTATTCCTTCAACAGTAGTACTTTTTTATCACCCCAGTTGCCTATTCAGACATCATTTGTGTGTGTGTTCATAGCACTGCTACCGCACTTTACTAGAGCACATTGCAGGACAACCAATTTCGTTTGTACACAAAAAAACGGCTCTCGGTATATAAAGTGCCCTGGCTGACTGAATTGAGTTTCTAATCGACAGTAGCACTACCACCACCACTACCGCCACCACCTTCACCATCATCATCACCACCACCACCTCCACCTTTAACGTATTTCACTAGCTCACTTTTTCCCAACTAACCAGGTATGTAAACAATTAAAATAACTATTGTTTTGTGTGCTTTTTGCTAAGTTAGCCGGCGCGTGTTTACATTATTTCCATTTTGGCGGTGGTCACTTCAGCTACAGTTTGTTGCAGAGCTGACGCTGCAATTCAAAACGCTTGCCCTTCTCATTTTTTCCTTTTTGGTGAAGCACACTATGATACAAAAACACACACACAGTTCATGGTCAGGCACTCACACACCACCACTACAGACAGGCCGACAGAGAGCACTACGTGACACTTGAACTGTGTGCTTTGGTCTGCCTGCTTCTGACAGGAGAAAAAAGTGCCCGTCCACACCGTCTACTGGTTCATTTTTCTGAACGCGCCTAAAGTGGTAGAAAGAAAGAGAGAGAGAGAGAGAAAAAGAGCGGGAGAGAGAGAGAGAGAGCGGGAGAGCGGGAGAAAGAAAAGGAGAATATACATAATAGCAGCCAGCAAAACTAATAGAGTGCGGCGAGTAAAACTGCCGTTGCCACTTTCCCTGCAAACCACAACAATTCTACGTGATTTTTCTGCACAATTCTTTTTCAAGCAGCTCTACTTCTTTTTTTCTCTCTGCCTGCTTTGTAGTGCTCTCACTATTGCACTCTAGTAGTCTTTGCCGCAAATCTTCTTTAGTTTTTGTTGTCGTTGTCGTCATCGTTTATTCTTTAGTTTTGTCTTTGCACACTCAGCCCCCGTAGTTCATTTTCTCCTCTTCCTGTTCATCATTTTCACCACCCTTTTCAGTGGCCATTGTGTTTGTGTGTGTGTGTTTTCTGGCGATAGCCGAAATAAGCGAATTAGCGCCTCTCTAGTGCGTGCCTGCTTTGGCCTCCTTTTCTGTCACCGATCTCTGTACCTCTGTCATGTTTGTCTTCCACTCTGTCAAAAGACACTCACCGAACCGAACCAAACAGAAGCCGCACTATTGTCTTCTCATGTTGGAACTTTACCCTCGCAAACACATCGTAGCTTAGTGGCACCCTAATCTGTCTTGTCTTTTCTTTCTTGTCTGTTTTTCAACGTCGCTGCAATATACCGATTTTACTGTCCATTTAGTCTTCACTACACTATAGAACATCGTTAATACGTTTACACACGAGTACCAGTACCAAACACTAATAGTCAAGTTTTAAAAAAGATATTTTATTGCGTTTGAATGAAACCTAGCATTAACTGTGCTAGCACTCTACCTATTTTGTTGTTGCTGTCATCATTTCAATTTCAATTACCCTCTTCAAATTTCCGTTTTACACATTTGTTTAACACGCACAAATTGATCTTTTCCACTAACTTTGATGTGATAAAATTTTTGCAATAATTAAGCTAATCAGTTCTGCAAATAAAGGTACTTTCACCTATGTCAGTGTACTTATTGTCACATGTCACTTAACATTCCCAGCAAACATTTTTAATTTGTAATTCTTTGATTAATTATTAATTGAAACAAGCTAAACACCACATTTTGACACAAACTGAACAACATTTGAGCTTTTACACATTCGCAAAAAACTGAACTTGTCATACTTAAATTTTGTTAAATTGCAATATTCAAAAACACTAATTGACAACTAAACCGTAAACTTGAACAATTTCAGCCGCCATGTCTGTCAACAAGAGCTCCGCCGAGTACCTGAAAACCATCAACAGTGATAACTTTGAGTTTGATGGCCTGACTGCACACCAACTTTTTGGATCCGGAGATGGCCTAACTTACAAGTAAGTTATTGATTTTTTGCATTTGCAAGTTGTTTATTTTAGAGAGTTTGAAACGGCTATTTTAGAGCTTAAAACTATAACGACAATCTTTTAACTGACCCGTTTAGCGATTTTCTGGTTCTTCCTGGATACATTGACTTTGCCGCCGACGATGTTCAGATTACCACGAACCTCACTCGGAAGATTCAACTGAACGCCCCGCTGGTCTCCTCACCCATGGACACCGTCACTGAGTCTGACATGGCCGTGGCGATGGCGGTAAGTGCTCACTGGCGTTTGGGTTATTGTTTTTGCTGTGCACTTTGTATGGCAATCATTTTCAGTGATGATAATGACCATCATTTGCACGCAGTTAGAATCTGAATAACCGATTTGTTTGCGCCCCATTTGTGATTCACTCACTATCTCTAGCTGTGCGGCGGCATCGGCATCATCCACCACAACTGCACGCCTGACTTTCAGGCCTCCGAGGTGCAGAAGGTGAAAAAGTACAAGCACGGTTTCATCCGCGACCCGGTCTGCCTGACGCCCGACCACACCGTTCAGGATGTGCTGAAGGTGAAGACGGACAAGGGCTTCACCGGCATTCCCATCACCGACAACGGCCAGCTGGGCGGCAAGCTGATGGGCATCATCACCGCCCGGGACATCGACTTCAAGACCAAGGAGATCCTGGAGCAGCCGCTGGGCACGCTGATGACCAACTTGAGCAGTTTGGTGACCGCCCAGGAGGGCATCACCCTGGAGGAGGCCATCACCGTCCTGGAGCGCACCAAGAAGGGCAAGCTGCCCATCGTCGACAAGGACCAGCGCCTGACGGCGCTCATCTCGCGCACTGACATCAAGAAGCGGCGCGACTATCCGCTTGCCTCGAAGGACGCCAACAACCAGCTGCTGGTGGGGGCGGCCATCGGCACCCGAGAGGGCGACAAGGAGCGCCTGCGCAAGCTGGCAGAGGCCGGCGTCGATGTCGTCATCCTCGTAAGTGTGAACGCCTTCTGCTTTTCAGTTGGCAGTCGATTGATTGTGTCCATTTCTCAAGTGTTTATTTTTCTCAAACAGGACTCCTCGCAGGGCAACTCCCTCTTCCAGATTAACTTTCTCAAGTGGATCAAGGTCAACTTTCCCAACATTCAGGTCATTGCCGGCAATGGTAAGTGTGTACACACCCGCACACTAATCACTTGACAGTGCTCTAATACACCGCTCTAAAACACCAAACTGTAGTGGTCACTCAGGCGCAGGCGAAGAACCTGATCGACGCCGGCGCCGACGCACTTCGCGTGGGCATGGGCTCCGGTTCGATTTGCATCACCCAGGAGGTGATGGCCTGCGGTCGGCCCCAGGCGACTGCCGTCTACAAGGTCTCCAACTACGCGCGCAAGTTTGGCGTTCCCACGCTGGCCGACGGCGGCATCAGCTCGGTGGGGCACATTCTGAAGGCACTGGCGTTGGGCGCCAGTGCCGCCATGATGGGCAGCATGCTGGCGGGCACCACCGAGGCGCCCGGCGAGTACTACTTCTCCAATGGCGTTCGCGTGAAGAAGTACCGCGGCATGGGCTCCATCGACGCCATGGAGTCCAAGGACGGCGAGGGATCTCGTCAGCGATACTTTCAAGGGTAAGTTCTTTGTTTGTCTCCGGACGGATTTCTCCGTTTCACCTGTTTTTTGCTGCTCCATCCTCTCTTTTAATTGCAATGTACAACCTTTTTTTGCCTCCTCTTCTCTCTCTCCCTCTTTTTATTTGCTCTTTTAGTGAACACGAAGATGTTCGCGTGGCCCAGGGCGTTTCCGGAGCAATCGTCGACAAGGGCTCGGTGCAGCGTTTCATTCCCTACCTGGTGAATGGCATTCGATACGGCTGCCAGGACATGGGCGTTCGCAGTCTGTCTCTTCTCAAGTAAGTTGCTGTTTGCCTTTTTGTTTTTATTAATATTTTACCACTACTGTTGCCGCTGCTGCTGTTGCCCCCATTCCTTGGGCTGTTTGCACAACTAACATTTAATTCAACTTGCATTAACCAATTTTTTTGCACTGCATAAATTAATTATCTAAATAACTCTATTTCTATGCTAATTCTCTAATTTGGTAAAAGGCATCAGTCAGACGTGATTCGTTTAGAAAGATAAACAGAGCAGTCTTTTATTTTCGAGTCAACACTAAATGATTGAGTAAATGTAAAAAACTAAACTAAACATTTTCATTAAATGGAATAGACAACAAAATGCAGATTGCAGACAAAAACTTGCTATAAAACTTTAAATTAATTTACTTTTCTAAATTGAATATCTAAACAAAATGCACCCTTTTTTGTTTTTAATTTTTACAGACAGCAAATGTACAGTGGCGAAATCAAGTTTGAAAAACGAACTGCTTCAGCCCAAATTGAAGGCGGCGTTCATGGCTTGTACTCCTTTGAGAAAAAACTGTTTTAAAATGTTACACAACTTTTACTCAACCTGGCATATACTTTTTCAAATCAACAAGTCATCAATAAGTTTAATTTTCTGATTTATTCTTCTTGCATACAATTTTTGGGACCAACGCTTATTCCACTGCTAACGCACCGCTTGTTTTACTTTACAAAAGTAAACTTATTTCAAACATTAATTGCATTGAATTCCACATTTTATTTTGTTTAAAACTTTTAGTTGTTTTATTAGTTATTTCTACTACATTTGTACATGAAAACTTTGTTGTTATACTCAAACAGCTAGTTTTTGCAATAAAAATGTTTTGTGTTTAATAAAACAAAAATAAAAATTTTTTATTTAAAAAACATATTTGATTAAGTTTGATGTTTAAAACTTTTCTTATTTTTGATAAAACTTGTTTTGTGTTAGTTTTAAATTTTTTTGGTATAATTTTAAAACATTTAAAAATGTTTTTGAAAAAAATCGATTATTGTTTTTGCAAAAAAACAGTGTGTTGTCTGTTAAATTGGTTGGTTTGGCAACAAATGAATAGTCATTTTTAGGACAGTACTTTTGAGCGCCAGAATAAATACAAAACAGACCGACATGCTCAACTTAGAAGACATTATGCTTCATTTTTTTAAACTGTTTTCTACTAATTTTATCACTGATTTTAATTTTTTAAACTCATTTGCACCTTTTATTTCATTGGTATTTTGTTTAAATTCAATTTTTATTTTTACAAAATTATAATTTTTGCCAACAGGCATAAAACAATGGAAATTAGTCCTGAACCGTCAGCTCCTGCGCTAAGCCCGACAAACACTCCAAATTCAATCAGTTCAGTTACTTCCTTGTCTTCAGTGACACTGTTGAATCAGTTGCTTGATGAAATTTACCATTACAATGAATCACAGCTTTTAAAGCCAACTATTTTTACTAAATTGGATCAAGATGACACTGGTGAAGATGGTAAAAAAGAGAAATCTGCATCGAGCTCTAGCAGTTCAGCCTTGGCATCACCCAATCAATCAACCAGTGAAGACAGTAATGAAAACGGCAACACTTGGACTACTTCATCTTACTTTGGTTCATCTACATGTACGCGAGTGCGTGTTCTTTCTCCAAGTGAATATACACGTGAAAATTTGCTAAAGAAAAGTAAGTTTTTCTTATAAATCTTTGTTAAAAATGTTTATAAATTTAAAGTTTATGAAATGACTTTTTTTATGCACAAAAAATTAAAATTTCGTTGCAGAATAATTTTGTTGCTAAATAACTTAATACTAATGTGTTTTTAAATTACTATGAAGGTATCCCTGAACTTCAAATTCTCGTTTTTACTCTTAAAGAATCATTGCGTTTTCAAAACTTAGAGTTAATCAAGCATTTGCAAGAGCGAGATGAGTTTCGAAGAGAATGTTCTAATAGAGTCGACCTAAACATCTCATTTGAAAACTAAATGCGCACAAAAAGGTTAGTTATGAAATGTTTATAAATATTAAAGTTTTAAACATAAATAATAAAATTGTTTATAATAAACAACTTTTGTTTGTTTGAAAATAAAAATTTGAAAATAACAACAACTTTTTATATGTGTTAATATTTCTATGAAAAATTTGTTTTTTAATAAACTAATTTTTAATAATGTTTTTAGCCAAGAGGTCTACTTGAAACATTTAACAAATAAACCGTTATTTAGATTTTACTAATGACTACATTTTTCAAATGTAAGTTTTAGTTATTTTAATCAGCAACTATAAAATGTGTTTTTTAAAAATAAAACTGTTTTGTTCAATCATTGTTATTACAAATTTTTTGTTTGCATTTTAAAATTGTATCACTAAATTTAGAGTTATTTATTAGACAATTCCTACGTTAAATCAAAATTAAAATTGTTGTGCATTGCTTAAACTAAGCCAACACAAACAATTGAGAAACCAAAAATGTCGTCTGCACTTCTATTCTGTTTTTTTCTCTATTTTACTGGTTTGTTCTGCCACGTAAGCCAATGGAGCGTCGGCGCGTACCACATGCTTTACATCCTCTTCCTTTTTGCGGTATATAAATGGTTTCAAAACACCAGAACCAGTTTCAGTTTTATTATCTGTTCAGATTAACTCACTAGCGGTCCTGTAACCAAACCAAAAACTCGATGACATCTCTTGTTGAATCACTATATTTTTTTCAAAATAACTTATCAAATTATTTTTTATTTCAATATTTACAACTTTTTTAATACAATAAAAAAAATTCAAAACAATTTAATTTTTAAAATTTAAAAAACGTAAGTAATATTTTTTCTAATTTTTTAAAACATACAAGGGTGTGAGTGTCGCTTCGCGCCACGCACTCTTTAGTTTTTCC